GATATATTATGAAATCGAGAAAGATCAATGCAGGCAAGTTACTGAAAAATAATTCCATGAAAATCAAAAGATGAGTACTATTCTGATCATTCCCATAGTGATTTCAATTTGAAAGCCACCGATAGACAGTTGTTTCAGCCTATTGGGGTAGGCATCGTTAGTAGTAGGCAGGCGGTCCTCGATTGAAGACAAAATGTGAGTATCCAAGAAGTACTTGATAAAAATAACTTCGTAAAGGCAAGCGAGACATAAGTGGAACCACGTTTTGGTGGCTCTTGGATTGAAGTCAATATGGGAATAATCAGAATAGTACTTATCTATTCTTTTTTTCATTTTCAAGGAATTATTTTCCAGCAGCTTGACTGCATTACCCTTCCATGATTCAGGAATTTGAAATTTACGACTTTATCGTCTACATATTCTATATAGGAAACTACATTGTAGATTTACAAAACCATAGATATATCCAAATATTTCAAACTACTAGCCTCTTCAAACTGATAATCAGATTTGAATAGAACTGGCCGATACTTGATGAAAATCCATATTAAAAAAAAAACTAATCAATACAGTTCATTGTATGATTTTCACTATAAGGGTTTTACAAAAACGCTTGAAGAAGCTATTGTATAGCCAAACACGTGTCGCGGTTTTTGTAAAACCCTTATAGTAAAAATCATAGAATAAACTGTATTGACTAGTTTTTTTTGACAATCAGATGATTACCGTGCAATTTCAGTATTTTATCTTGGGAGCTCCCGATAGTATATACATATCTACAAAGGTGATAATTCACAATAGATGTGAATGAGAATAGATTTTCATATTCATTATCAACTGAACAACTCCTTTTATTTTGGGTCGCTTCAATTTTCGGCCTAGCGGGAGCATGGATAAAGATCAAATTGAAGTTATGGAAAAAACTTTTCCATAACTTTATGAAATTTATTGTTCAAGCAAGTATTCAAGTAAATTCATTATTTTTCATGAGAATGAAATTGTAATCAAATAAATTAATTTAAAAATATTATATGCTAAAAAAATTGCGTGAATTTTAATCTACCAAAAGAATAGATTATACGTTTACTAACCCTTGAGACAGACCAAATATATGCGGGCCTAATGCACAGATAAATGTACACTTCATTAGAAAATATAAAAATATAATGAACTTACTGAACTTTCTTTGCAGGAGACTGCTCACTTTCACTTTCCGATTCATCACTGTTAGACATTTCATTTTTCATTATTTAAAAAAAAATTATTCAGTATAACACAGGTTATGGATACTGTAGCAAACACAACTGTATACACTATAGGTATCCGAGCTCAGTATGGCGAGAGAGATAGCGTAATGTCGAACCAGTGTGAATAGAATCGCACAGTCGCTTGCGTATGACATGACATGCGTCGCCACTGTCATCAATCAGTTCTACGTAGGATATGGTGATTTACGGCTTTCTTCATAATTTTTGATATTGCCGATAGCAAAGCAACTGGTCTATAGTTATTTGGAAGAGTTTTCTTGTCCTTTATGGGAATAGGCTGAACGCGAGCAATCTTCCAACAAGAAGTGGGTTGGACGATAGCAAGTGAAAATCGATCATTCAGCCTGGGGCTTGAACCGTCGAGTCGACCAACACGGCGATCGATTCGAGTGAGTGATCAAAGCATCAACGTATAACCGACCGGCTACCGATAATAGTACAAATCAGATTTTTCATGGTGATATAATCACAACAGTTGATGAATTTATAATCATCTCAAATATATTATTGATAAAAATTAAGGAATGTATTTTTTTCATCTAGAGGAGAAAATCCTCATATAATTTCTACAATAATTTCCACTGATTATGATGTATTCATTCCATGAATGAAAAAATACTACGTTATTCTGGAGTTAGTAAAGAGCAAATCCCTAAATGTTATTGTTGATTGGAGCAGTTGCTTTCTGAATAATTGTACTGCTCCAGTTTCTGGTAATTTGAATCAAGCAAATACGAAACTGAGACCATACTTTCATAGTTCTGGTAAGTAATTGAAAAGAAGGGATATGTTCAAATCTACTATTCAATATTTCTGGTTGTGGTTGAAGGTCTCATAGAATAGGAGTGTAAACAAAAAAGAATTTCATCAATGGTCACATATAAAATATTTTATTGAAAACAATTATGAAAATATCTTCTTCTATCTAATAATAAATAACATATGAAATATTGAAATGACTAATGTAGGTAACAGTCGTCTCCATTTTGAAATGATCTCAATCAAAATAAATTTGAAAAGATAAACATTATAATATATTACCTTTGTTAATGATTCATATCTAACGAATGAATTCAACTGCGAACAAGTGCGTCAATTCGAATATGACCCCATAAAATAAAAGGATACAGAATCCTGGAAATGTAATTGTCATTATAATATTGAATACAGATTATTGAATTTTAATTTTTTTGATAAAACTTTTTATCTGGAATCAGATTTCAGCCGGAATCAAAATAGATTCAAGTTAAATAGTTACTAATACTCCTAGTTCACCCCATTTAGAATTTCAATACTTTCACAACAACGTAAAAATCAAATCAGAATTATAAATAACTGGAATTATTTCTACAAATTCGCCGCGGGATTTTCATTACACCGCAAAATGTAGATAAATAAAAGAAATCATAATTCTTGGAGTTGACGCCACCATGAATACCTAAGTTGATATGGTGGAAATGATACCAAACTCCCATTTTCAACATGGTGTTTTCCTTCAGTCGAAGTATGGATCGAAGTGCTGGTAGTATTGACGATGAAGGTGGTTAGAGAACTCTGAAACATGAGAGATAAATTATTAATAGAAAGTTTTCAAAGCAATAAATTATGAAATGATTTCATTAGGAGTTTTTGAAAGATAAAAGTACATAAGAGAATAAGAGGATCATTGCAACATTATCTTCAATTTTATCAAGTTGAGGATAAATATGGCGAACAGAGATATTGTGTTATCCACAGAGATGATATTTTCGAACAATATCATAATTATGGAAGTTGTTAGGCTTCTGCGGTCGTAATGCTGAATTTTTTTCAAAATAATACTTTTTAGAACACTAATATCACAATATTATGGTGAACAGAGAGAATACAGTTGAAGTATAATCCGTTCTGTTTGAGTCATTTACGAATTAGGCTCAAATAATCGTTTTAGTAGGTACTCTCATTGTTATAATATGATTCCAAAATAGTAGGCACTAAATTCTGAGAAATAACTGTGACGTTTTTGCTTCAATATGTCTCTTGCAGTGGCGTACGGATATTATACTAATATAATTATATGATGAAATATATAAAATCACAACCTAACAACAATGTTTTCATTTTAACGCAATAATATTTCTGAGAATTTAGTGGGTACTATTATGGAATTTCAGTACAGTATGGTTTATGAATACAAACGCACGACTAACAGAGGGTCATGGTCCTAAGTTAACCTGTATTTTCTATAGCTGAGGAAGAGGTGCTTTGTGTGTACTCAACAGAAATAATATAACAGTTGGAAAATGATAAACTCAATCCTTTCAACGCCAAGAAAGAAAAAGCTGGTAGAGAGTGGGTGAATGGATTCTTAAAACTAGACCCACAGAAACCAGAAAACACTTTTGCTACCAGAGCATATGGATTCAACGAAGTAGCTGTGGAAGAAATTTCCAATTCCCATGGCAAAGTATTCGATGAGCACGAACTGAATCTTGATCGTACTTACAATTGTGATGAAACACGTGTTTGTGTTTTGTTGCGTTACTCCAGTGTAGCATCTGAAGAGAAACCTATACTGCTCTTACTTGATGGGCACAGCACTCACCCTTAAAAATCTGCTCTGATCAGTGAAGTCAAAAAGCATGGTGTAATCTTGTGTTTCGCCGCACGCGACACATCGTTTGCAAGTAGCGGGTGTTGCTTCCATGCGACCATTAGGTATATATTATGAACAAGCCATTACACCCTGGGCTAGTCTTTATTATCCGCCTGGTCCCTGAAATCTTTGGAGATGCATTTGTTCAGGCAGCCACGATGTCTACGGCCACGAACGGATTTCGCAAGTATGAGATTTAGCCGAATAATCCAAACGAATTCTAGATCTAGATCGATATCTAGTTAAATGATCCTTTGGAAGGGTGTTCCCACTAGTATATATAGAATAAAGACACACTAGTCAATCAGGAACCAGTGTTATCACCGAATCAAAGAGTAACAGTCAGAAAAATCACTATCAGAACAATATCGAGCCGACCAGCCAAAACAGCTATCAAAACTAGACAAAAACTATATCAGGCAGAATCCACAAGCAATTCAACAAACTCAAATCAAAATTAGTAAGCAACCATCTCAATCCCCTTCATGCGACAAAAGTGACAATAGCTCCACGTTGTCTTCTCCAGGATAACTATTTCCGCTTCCAGTTACCAAAAAAACATCACGAGTAACTGAAAAACGTGAATCAACAGTTATTGTCACATCTTCTGGGCGCTGTCCAGATGAAAAAAAGTGATGAGCAGAAAATGGAAACAAAAAATAGAAGAGATGAATTGAAAAAGCAGAAAAAATTTGGTAAAGTGAAAAAATCACGTAATAAGAGCAAAACACCAAACCATCGAGAGTCTCATTATCTGAAAATTTGAACGTAGAAAACAATGACGCGCCATGTATATTATAGGGAGTTGTATTCCACTTCCATTGAAGAGTAGATTTCGTGTTTAAATTGAGGACAATTGAAGGCACCTAATAACTGAACAGGAATCGACGATGATGATGACGAGGCCATTCACGTTTGCCAGTTCAAACGAATCAAAATTTTTTTCTTCAATACTTATCATATCATCTTACCCCCGGAGGGGTATCCGAGTTTACTAGCACCATGGGGCAAAACACTTTTTTTATTTTGATGTTTTTTTTTTTCTGAAAAAGATAACTAAACGTTCCTAATGTCACCAAATATTGAAAATGTATTGAATATAAGCTAATTTTGAAATAATTACAACTCTGTTACTTCATGTTACTATATGTTTTTATTGAACTTCAAACCCTTAGTATCCCACCATCTTTTCTAGAAGGTAGATGAAATCGCAAAACGTGTTCGATATACAATAGCTTTCTCGAGGTGATAAATTAATAAATTAGTCCCAATTCACAACAATTCGATTCTGTTACGTTAAAACCAACAACCTACGGTTCAATCGGATTTCTGATTATGGGTTAAATTCAACAACCTGAAACGACTGGCTTTAATTCTCAATCTACTCCCAAATTCGATGAAATAGTTGTTCCTATTCAAGGAAGCTTCTGTGAAGCAGATGTTATGTAAAAAATTATAACAAAAATCTCACTGTGAATAAAATTGCATTTCTTTTTAAATCAACATCGTCTACTGTCGAATTAATCATCTACATAACATACATTGACCACCTCACTATCGAGATTGCAAGATTTTCCAGTAATGAGTTTGAAATTTCAATTGAAAACTATTTATATTCAAACTTCATTGATATTCTACAATTTCGATATTACTGTGATTTGCACAAAGCGACTTTATTATGGAGAGCTATTCTCACGTAGAAAGCAATTTCAATGCTCGCTTTGAATTCCCCAAGGAAGTTGACGAAAGTGGATTGAAATATATATTCATATCCAAAATGTCTCGATTGCATTCAGTTCAGTACAATTCAATCTGGATAAATCAATATGTTGTTGAATGTTACCTAATACATCTCCTTAGAATGCGTGTGATTGATGACTTGTTTACTTTATGGTGATTCATGATCTCTTGAATGAAATGAATAAAAACACTTTTGTCTAAATACCACTAGTAGATTTTTCATTCAATTGTGGTTTATTATCATTTGAATACTTGAAGTTGAATAGTATTAAAATTATTTTGCAACTATTTCTGGAACATCAAATTCACGAGGTTACTCTCTTGAGGCTTCGGAAGCAATCCTTTTATTGTTGTGATGCACCTATTGAAACCTTTGGTGTAGTAATGAATATTACTGGGGTTTTTTCCCAACAGAAAACCGTTATTTCTAACACCTCAACACGTGTTTCAATCACCAAGAGGAAGATCACAATTATCTTCCTCTTGGTGATTGAGGAAGATCAGTGTGATCAGTGTGATCTTCCTCTTGAAGATGATAACTTGGTGATCGAAACACGTGTCGAGGTGTTAAAAGTAACAGTTTTATGTTGGGAAAAAACTCCAGTAGTATTCATTCAATCCTTTTGTTGACAAAAAAGTTGAATAATCACTACTCTCCTTGGTTACCAACTACTAATTGTCACACGTTCTAATTTCAAAGTTTCATATTTCTAAAACTAGTTAACTTACAATTTCGATATTCATTTCTAAAATTAGCTTAATTTTTTCTTTTATACGTTTACTAATTTTGTATAACCTCACTAATGTCTGAACACCTTAATTTTACCCAAGCATCATTTGATGTTCGTAACTGAGGAAGCTGGTACAACTATTCTTTTCAAGCATTTCATTATTTCTAATTGATTATAACAATTCTATTATGTTTCTTCCAATTTTCTTCAACAGATGCAATATTATTTCTGATTGATAATGTTGTGCAAATTCTGTCATAGTTTGATACTCAATTTTTAAATTTTTGACATTTTCATCGCTTTGGAACATGTTTGAATGAGGAATCGAAAAGGTCAATTTTATAGTCAAGGAGACACATTCAAGGAATACTTATAGCCGCCGGAGTATGTGTCTGTGGAGTTTTTTCCTGGTTTTGTCTGCAGGTGGCGCAGTAGACATTCTACTGAATCAACCGTAGAACAAAATTATGACTAGCTGGAATACTTTTATTAGGTCGGGGTAGTCCGACGGTTCACTCCGTCTGAAGTGACCTACCCGGTATTGATGATGGGGCAATATCTCAAAATCGGTTTATCGATTGGTCGTACCAACCAAGTGAAAATAATTTCCGCTTTTCGTATACAGGAAGAAATTCCGACGAATCTTCCAAATGGAAGACGATGCACACGTTGATGGTTTTATTTATCTAGAAAATTGTAGTTATAAATAATAGGCAAGGTGTAAGGTATTTTTCACTTGAATTTTGGGCATGTAATGCACCTCTCCGAAATGTCATCATTATTCTGACTCCAACGCCAGAGTATGTGTTTGTTGAGTTGTTTCCTGACTTTGTCTGGAGGTGGCGCACTAGACATCCGACTGAATCAACTGCAGGAAGGGTTTATGACTACCTAGAATTGATTTTTTTGGTTGGGGTACTCAGATGGTTCACTCCGTCTGAAGTGATCTGATGGGAAAAATTAGTAACGGGCAGGCGGTCCGCGATTGAAGACAAAATGTGTATAATCAAGGAAAGTACTCAATTTGAATAACTGCGTAAACGCAAGCGGGACATAAGTGGAACCACCTATTGGTGGTACCGCCTGTCCGGTACTGACGATGCCCAATAGGCCGAAACAGCTGTCTACAGGTGGTTCCTGCCTCCATTGATTTTATATCATATCATAATATAAGTAATACATGTCAGTGAAGATGAAGATGCGTCCTCAAGATGAACTGTTAACTTGAGACATAATGCAGCATACCTACATGANGCAGCATCCCTACATGGGATGTGAAAGTTTTGAAAACATTATAAAAAATTCAACAGGGAAAAAAGCACATGTGCTCAGTAACCTTGAAACACTGAAACTCGATTACGACATAAATATGAAGTTTGATAAGAGTCTGAATTGAAATTTTGAACAAATATTGAACCCATGTTACAAGTGTCATCAAAGAAATGCGCTATGGGAGCATTACTTCGGATGAGAAAACACTTCTGTCAACTATTATTGAGACAAATTAATGAAATTTCAATGAAGTTTGAAGAAAATATCATTTGGGTATTTTGTAATTTGGCATATTCATTTATTTTTTTGCAAACATTTGTGTTGAATTTTAGTTCATCTTTAACGAAACAGTTGCTGAGATCATATCTCTAGCTGATGCAAAGGCATTAATTTTTTGGATATCTGATGATTTTATCAGTTTTGAACTATTATGAAGAGCTGCTGCGGAAAAATCACCTGAATTCTGACTCAAATAACTGGGGGCCTTTTCGAAAGGTTCACCATAGCTCGTTTCACAAAATTTTCCGGAAGGTGTCTCACATCTTCCCAAATTCATGAAATGTACTCTTTCTTAGAGCGACAAGAAAAACATTATTTATGTAATATCAGAAAATCACTATCTGAAAATATTCGCTTCAGTTTATAAAATTGGCATTGCATTTCTTTCGTGAACGAGTACATTAGTGTTTATATCACATTTATGTTAGTATCGTGCGTCTTAGCTTCATTAGTTCAGTTAGTATCAGTCCACCTTTTAATCCTTGAGTAGTTTTAGTCGATATTAGTAGACGTTTTTCATAAGAACAAATACGTACAGAAATCATGTCAGTCTTTTTGGTCCGTGTGGTCCTAATTCATAAGAAACTGATTTGACAAGTTTCACACCAGGATTTGATTTACTGGACTTCATGTAGTGAGAAAGTCCATGAGTACTTCTGATTGAAGGTCTCTTTGACATCCTATATATGTATTCAGGATTCTCGAAATAACTCAATTTGGTTGGTGCTGGCAAGTCGTGTGAAATATAAGGAGTTGGCAAAAACAACTGTTCTGTTTTAGGACTTTGTAGATAGGGCGAAGGGCTGGAAAATGGCATCTCAAAGTGAGTTGGCAAGGAAACCTGTTTCATTTCAGGACTCTGTAAGTAGGAAGAAAGGCTGGATGAAGGGATTTTCAGTCCGGATGAACTCTGAATTAGTTGCTGTGAAGACTGTTCGTTATATTCTTGTCTGGGTAGTCTAAAATATTCACCTTCCACTTTGATGCCTACATGTCCAGGAAATCCATCAGGGTAATCAGCTATATTAGGTAATTGGCTACCTTTCGAAAGGGACAGATAGCTAGAACTTGCAGGGTAAGAATTGTCAGTTGGACTTTGTATATCATTTTGGAAAGAAACCTGATCAGATGTCGGTTGTAATTGTTCAACTCTGAGTCCACTATTCAATGAATATTGATCGTCAGAGGAATTGTCCAAGAAGCTGAAGCCAAAACCTTGGCTTGATGAAAGAGATTCATCAAATGGAGGGGTATTGTTGGAAGTTATGAAGTTTGAGTCTTGAGGGCTCCCAAAACCATTTTGAGAAATTGTTTTACCGCTACCAACTGAAGTAGATGATGCGAAGGCATTATTTTTTTGAATATTTGATTGTATGAGTTTTGGACTATTATGAGAAGCTGCTGTGGAAAAATCATCTAAATTCTGACTCAAATAACTAGGGGCCTTTTCGAAAGGTTCACCGTAGCTTGTTGTTGGATGGACAGGTTTTTGTTGACTAATCGCATGCTTTTCCCCAAGAGTAACTAATCCAGAAGCTGCGGATGGAGCCACTTTATTGTCCCATGGATCATCATAATGATAGTTCGACTCAGGCTCGTATGAATTGTAATATGTACCTGCGCTTGCTGTATTACCAAACGGTTCTGGCTGATGTGGATTAGAAGAAGAGGAAGCCGCGAAAAATTTACTGACAATGGTGCCTAAGCCAGGACCAGAAGGCTTGAGTGGTTTGAAAGCAGGTACATTTTCTACGTGTTGATGGTGGTGTCCACTTGGAATTTTCTTGACAATTAGTAAGCCGTCTGCTCCTGTTGGAAAAAATATCTGTTAGATTCGTTTTTTGTCACTTTCGTTCAGTGATTTATTTGAGTAAGTTTTTTATTTCCAAAGAGCTGAAAGACATGCAATATTTCTAGATGATAGTGTAAACATTCTAAACTATAATATGTTCTGTTTGGCGTTCTATGCCATTAGAATATGTCATCCACAGATTCGTAAGCATTTTCAATTATTAGAATATTCATATTGAAACAACACTCCTGATTAATATTTCTCAATACTACATGAGAAATAATTGCGTTGCTGTATGAAGTATGGTCAAAAATTGTTCCGTTATGAAAATACGGATGTTACAGTTTTAGAGAGTTCATTCAATATTTTTGAAACCATTGTGAAAATTTAAGCGATATTTGTAGAGCAGTAATACACTAAAAGTCCATGATTTGGAGTATTAACTCCAACAGTGACGTGAGTACGGAAATTAACTTCGATATTTATGATAAACAAATGATACGCCTATGGATTATTCTCAAATGAAATTTTCAATGATCTATTCGTTCAATTTTAAATGGAAAACTTCTCGAAAGTTTCGTTCTTACGATACGAAAAATTGTTGAAACATTGTATTCAATTCGATCTTACCCAACTAACTTCGTCAGCCGGTACGTTGAATTTTCACAAATGAAAGTTATTTTGGAATTCCCCGTTCAATTTCGAATAAGAGAGCTCTTTCGAGTTTTTTCTGTGACATGTCGTTTGTGATTCGAAATATTAAAACCTCTATATTGATGAAAAAATATTAAAGAATTACATTAATCTCGATCTTACTTCGCTTTTGATTCACCTCATATTCACACTTTAGTTCATCAATACACAAAAAATGAAGTCATGAAACCTAGTATCATCCAAAAGAAACATCTGAAGGAAGGCGTCAAAGTGTGAGAACAGCTGAAATTGAGTTGTGCTACAGAAAATCAAAGAACACCCTGAAACAAGTACGAGAAAGTTCGCTAAAAAGTTCAATATTTGCCTCCAAATTGAATGGATAATTTTAGTAGATCTATCGTATCTCATCATATTTTTATAGTTCTGGCGTTACTGCCCAGAGATTTTCGAAGACGTTTAACCTTTTGTCAGTAGAATTTTCAAAATATTATGCAAAATCGCATATTCTGTTCACAGATAATTTCACAACAGAAACATTTCTATTTCAGAAGAGAAAACCATTTACAACACCAATTCTTGGTTAACGTATGATCAGGCATTTACAGGGTGTAACTAAATAAGTGCAAAACATTTAAGGAGGTAATTCCTCATCGAAAAAAAGATAGGATCTTTCATATAAAGAAATTTCATTGGAGCATCCCTTGTTAAGATACAGCACCTTAAAGGGGGTACATAAAATTTCTATAACAAGCACATAAGCACTAAAAAAGTTACAATATTGAAATTGACCTGACGTTTTGTACTATCAAAAAGACACTTAGTCAGAAATTTATTTGGTTTAACCCATGGTTGTAAGGGGTGGGAAACGCAACCCCTAAAATTTATTTCCAGTGTAACTTTTCGTCTTATTATTTGTTTACCATTTAAAAATTTATTTCCGATAGCCTGTTTCAATCTTAACAAAAAATGTCTCTTGGGTTTTTTGCCCAAAATAAACCAGTTCGCAGCAAAAAATTATTTTACGAACCACTACAGAGATACATCGTCATAAATGCGAAAAAACGAAACTAATCTATTTAGTAGGTCGCTATTAGCGATAGTGACAATTGAATTGGTATGACGCTGTCAGTTTGTGAATTTTCGAAATTGAATTAATATCAATTGTGTGTTGTTGTTCTGTTCTTAATTTGTTATTTTAATAATTCACTTCTTATTAAAATAGTATACACAAATGAGGAAATGGCTGATATGCATTACGTTTACGGTCTGTCGCAGGAGAATGGGTTAGAAGCTGATATGCTGAAATGTATTCTCAACGGCAGCATCCTTCACATAGAATATTTGCTCGACTTCATCAACGATTACGAGAATATGGTTCATTCGACAAAAGAACGCAGGATTGTGGTCGCCATCGAGAAGTACTTGAGGAAGCAGTACTTAATTTGATTGAAGAACAACCTACTACCAGTACTAGAAAGATTGCTTTCAAGCTAAATGTTGATCACATGACGGTATTTCGAATTTTAAAGGAACAACCCTTACCATCTGCAACGAGTACAGGCACTGTTACCGCGAGAATTTCCGAACCGTCTTGAATTTGCAATTGGATGCTGGAAATGATTAGAAGAAATTGTGACTTTCTGAAGACGATAGAATTCATGGACGAATGTAGTTTTTCTCGGGACAAGATTATTAATTTTCATAATTACCATATATGGGCTGATGAAAACCCTCACGCTATTGTCGAAACTAACCATCAAGAACAGTTTTCTCTTAACGTGTGGCTCGGAGTTATTGGGGATGATTTAATTCGGCCTCATTTTTTACCTCCTCGATTGAATGGTGAGGCATACGTTCAATTTTTAAGGGAAGTGCTGAAGGAAGTTCCTTTGGGCGTCAGAAGGGATATGTTTTTTATGCATGATGGGCCTCGCGCCCATTTTAGTCAAGTAGCACGCTAGCATTCAACTGAAACATATGCAAATCAGTGTATAGGTCGAGGAGGACCACAGAACTGGCCCGCTCGATCCCCGAATCTCAATCCTCTCGATTTCTCTATTTGGGGCAATTTACAGCATTTGGTTCATCGTACTCCTGTTCGCGATGTAGAGGACTTAAGAAACCGCATCGTCGATAGACTGCAGGAATATTTGAACGAATACCTGGCTCAATGCGCCGACGTCTAGACGCATGCGTAATGTCTGAAAGTAGACATATTGAACATTCACTATGATTTCTACATGTTGTGTGTTTTGTTATTGATAAATTAGTTTTGTTTATTACCCTTTAATCGTTTAATGCAGGTACTAACAATAAATAACAGTTCAACAATAAATCCAGTTCGCATTTATGACGATGTATCTCTGTAGTTGTTCGTAAAATAATTTTTTGCTCCAAACCCCATTTATTTTGGGCAAAAAACCGAAGAGATATTTTTTGTTTAGAATGAAATAGGCTATCTTAAATACATTTTTGAATGGTAAACAAATAATAAGACAAAAAGTTACATTGGAAATAAATATTAGGGGTTGCGTTTTCCACCCCTTACAACCATGGGGTGAACCAAATAAATTACTGGTTAGTATCTTTTTGTTAGTAAAAAACGTCAGGTTAATTTCAATATTGTAACTTTTTCAGTGCTTGTGAAAAAAATTGTAGGGGCTGTATCTTAACAAGGGATGCTCAAATGAAGTTTCTTTATATGAAAGATCCTATCTTTTTTCCGATGAGGAATCACCTCCTCAAATGTTTTACACTTATTCAGAGACACCTTGTATGCATGGTGGTGCACCAGCACATTCCAGTCCAGTGATTCGGAATCATTTGCAAAATTTTCATCCAAATCGTTGAATTAACCGCGGTGGGCGACAAGAATGGCCACCAATGTTTTTTATTTCATTTCATCAAACTGAAATAACCCCAATGGTGTTGTAAATATTAAACGATTACCATTTCTTGATGAAACTTTTAACATCTCTTATTTTCGAAACGAAACATTTTTGGACAACAGTTCATATAGCGCTCTATAATTATTTTTCTATGTAAATTTACACCCCTAGATATTCGCATATCATCAAGAAATAACCTGTTAAATGAGATTTTGGAACACTTATCAGTTATAATTTCCATCAAATTATTATCTTTGACGTATCGAAATAGTTCGAGCAAAGATTTATACCTACTTAGGTGAAAGTCATAAAGAACAAACATGCGTACAATGTTCTCCACACAAGTTACAATAGTTCTGATAAAACATAACGAAGTCTTTGCTATTTTATTTAGTTGATGACATCCAGGAAAGGTATCATAATATTGTGGGAAAAATATTGAAATTTGCAGAAACTATTTTCTTGTCAAATCCTTCCATACACCACATCATTTACAGAAGTACAATGAATAGAAACAACTTCATTTTCGTTTTCGCGTTCTTAAAAAATTAATAAGATCATTGAAAATGCAAGGGTTGACGGGGTAATTGCAAAAAAATTAAACAATAACGTTCGTTTGTAATCCACTGTTTGGAACCTTTGATGTAGTAATGAAAATTACTGGAGTTAACACCTCGACATGTGTTTCGATCGATCATCAGGTCTTCAAGAGGAATATTATACTCCTCTTGAAGATGTCCAATTTTTACATGATTTTATCAAGAGAAGGAAACCTTTACCGAACGAATGAATTTGTTATGGATATTTCTAGAAAGATCAAAATTCTGTAATTGAATGTCATGATGTAAATTTGTCAATTATCTAACTGAGCCCATTTCATTCATATTGAACAAATCTTCGCAGTCAAGTATATTCCCGGATATTTTTAAGCACTCCATCATAAAACCCATATATAAAACGGGAAATAAATTATAGACCGATATCACTCATCAGTAATATGGTAAAAATATTTGAAAAGCTGTTGAAAATCAGAATGGACAAATTCTTGACGAAATATCAAATACTCTCGGACAACCACTTTTGGTTTCCGAGAATCCAAGTCGACCCAAGATGCAATGATCAAGCTCACGAAAGAAATGTATGAGGCAATGGACAAAGGTGAAGCAACTTTATGCATTTTTGTAGATTTGGCTAAAGCCTTTGACAACCGTGACCCATGAAAAATTATTGAAAATTCTTGAAAATATCGGATTCAGAGGTATCTCTTCGAAACTCCTCGGAAGCTACTTCTCATACAGCTCTAATAGATGTATAGAATACGGAGTGCCGCAGGGTACAGTTTTTGGGCCCCTATATATTGACGGAACTATAGTCAATTTTGCTGATGATACCGCTGTGTTATATCGCGGTAAAAATTGGACAGACCTCAAGAACAAAGTTGAAAAAGACTTCTATACTATATTCCTGTGGTTTGA